TTGTGATGACTACATCATGGTTGCTGCCTCAAATGCTTGATGAGTTATTCAGACGTTTTCGAACGTGGAATCGTTCTCTTATTCAGGGCGCGATCCAGCTGTACTTGGACATCGTCAACCTCTTCTTGTGCGACCGTTACTGCATCACCTCGCCTGGAGCAAATCTGAGAAATCTGAGTTGAGAGCACTGCCTGGTCCCTGTTTTTTGCAATTGTTTTGGCAGGTACATCCTTCAAATCATGCTGGAAATCATGAAGTGGCTTTGCCAGACCAAGTCAATTGAAGCTGCTGTGCCTTTGACTTCCATAGCGCTGCAGGAGCAGTCGTCAGTGACGACAATGGCTGGTGAGCGTGTGGAGTTGAGCTTTTGAAGTTTGGTACAGCCGCTTTCAACGCTTCCTGTGGTCGGCGCGGACCACAGTCTACGATCTGACAGGAGGTTTGTGCCAAATCTTGCAGCGAATCGGCAAGCTGGAGGTATAGGTAGGGTAAATTGCAGGGGGCTGTTTTCTCATGCTGCTTGAAAGCAGAACCTCCATTACGAGTAGCCTGAACAGGGTTCAACTGGCCGTCGCTGCGGTGCTGAACGTGGCAGCAAAGCTGCAGGTACAGAAGCACAAAAGCGATAGGTTTGGTGATTTTATGTCGAAAGTTCAAACAAGCCCATCCCAGAAGAGCTCTAATGGTCCGTCTTGCGTGCCAGCAGGTCCGCCAGTTGGAGCAGTCAGTTTGCAGTTAACTACCTACATAATCTACATGAAGCAGCTGTGCTTCACGTCTGCCAGTTCACTGCTAGCTCAGTCTACGGCTTTCACTGATAGCCAAGGCCGACGATGCATCCCTCGCAGTTGGAGGAAGATGCTAGGCAGCTACAGAATTCGGGAGTCTACAAGTGTTGCTAGGCTTTTTCCAACGGCTCAAGTTCAGCTGCCTTTCATTTGCAATGGAGGTGGGAAAACCGATCTCCGTCGATCACCTCAACATCCTGGCACTTTGAGGCCTACAATGACCAACAACCTTTGATGTGCTCTTGCGACCCTTCGACAAAAGCATCTCCTGTGCACTTGCTGACTGACCTCGCCAAACCTTTTGACCAAATGCAGAATTTTTCTGTGAAGCTTCTCGAGGCTGCACCAAAAGTGGCGGCTGACGTCTCGTCCTTGACCGTGTGCATGGCTCGTAGGACGTAGGTCTCTATGTGTGTACCTTCCAACCTGGTCTAGGCTGTACGGCTTGTGGACATTCGAACCACAGCAGCTGGACCGGTTCCCAGGTGCGTGCTCTGAGTCACGTGGTTTAAGGGAAGCAGATTTGTGACAATGATCAGGATGCCACAGCGGGCTGGAGACCTGTGCTCAGAGGGGATGTGCATCAAAAAGAAACCAAATAAGGATCAACAAAAAACCAAATAAGGATCAACAAAAAAACCAAAATCTGAAAATATAGAGAGAAATCCAAGAAAAAGCAGCCCCCCCAGACGGCGCCCGGGAGGATCAGAAAACCCAAAAACTCCTAGTAGAGAAGCGAGGAAGCAAGGAAGGAAGGAAGGAAGCAAGGAAAGAAGAAGAGCAAGTAAGAAAGACAGAAAAGCAGGAAGGACAGGGAAGGCAGGAAGGAAAGAAGGAAGGAAGACAGGAAGGAAGGATTGTTCACCGATGTTCATGGATTTTTGTGGATTTTCACGTTTTTCATCAGTTTTCATCACGCTCAGCATCATTGGGTTGCTTCTGATTTGGATAATTTGCGTGATTTCGCATGATTTTCATGTATTTTTGGTCATTGTGCGCAATTTCTCATCACTTTTCATCACAGCATGTGTCATATTTTTCCATTGTCTTTTCAGCAATGTCCGTGATTTGCGTGATTCTCATCATTCATATCCAATCTCACCAGCTGCCATAATTTTTCAGCACCTTTGATCATATTTTATGATCATTGTTTTGTTTGCAAATGGGGCGGGGGCTGCGCCCCCCCCAACCCCCCGCTGTTTTTCAAGGCAACCCATGCTTGCCATTGCTCATGGTCTGACATCCTTTCCTAATTTCCCTGTTTTTTTCTCGCAATTTTCATGTTTTCCTGGTCATAGTGCGCAATTTTCTCATGATTTTTCAGCACAACATGTGTCGTAGTTTTCCATTATTTTTTAGCAGTCTGTGGTTTTGCTTGATCTCTTTCAGCAGTGGTATCAGTTTACATCAGCTGCCATGTTTTTCAGCACCTTTGATC